GTATCCAGTCAATAAAGGTTTTATCATATACCTTATATGAAAAAAAAGTCTTTCGTGATGTTATTTTTCGCTCGTCTGGCCCAAAAGAAAACCTATTCAATTTCATCCGGTTTTCGATACGGGCCTGATTAATGGTGCGGATTTATACGGAGAATTCTAAATGACGCAAACGCGTCAACATCTCTCACACAATACACAAACGAATGTCGACAAATATATCCACAAATTACGTTTTAATGAAATAGCAAATGAACATAAATTTATAACAATATTTAACGGTAATAAATACGAACTCATTATAAACTTTCTTTCTTAAGAATGGACACTACAGTCCAGCTAAGTTGGTCATTTACTGACCGTCCGACAACGGGACGATTTCATGGAGCTGATGTTATAGCCACAGGTAGAGACACGTTGATTTCACAGTTGTTAAAAACTGTAGTTGGTGAACGAGAAACAATTGCTTGACAAGAAGCAGTTTGGTTTACAGTTCCAGATTCTGGCGTAACTAAGAATATCTGAAATGCGCCGACGATCTTCCGTTGAGAGGCAGCATCTTCAGACAGTCAGCTGGCATCGGTGTCGCTGGGTGTATCCCGCGATACCGATGCCAGCTGAATGTGAGTATCGTAGTTCTGTAAACTTGACACGTTTTTGTGACCAGTTATATTGATGATTTGTTGTGGTGGAATGCCGGCTTTCGTCAGGGTAATAATGAGTCCAACTGGTGTTTTCGGTATATTTTCCTTCAACAGAATAATATCGTCAACCATTATCGAAGCGCAGACTCAAATTACGCGCGTTGTTTGTAAACAGAAAGTAGTTCCAGGAAATAGACGCGTTTACCATATATGAATTAAGGAATAAGACTTTTTAATACTGAGATAAAGAGACTTTTTAATACTGAATTAAGGAAAAAGACTTTTTAATACTGAGATAGAGTGATTTTTTAATACTGAATTATGGAATAAGACTTTTTAATACTGAGATAGAGAGACTTTTTAATACTGAATTAAGGAAAAAGACTTTTCAAAACTGAGATAGGGAGTAAGATTTTAATACTTAAATAGGGAAAAAGACTTTTTAATACTGAGATAGAGAGACTTTTTAATACTGAGATAGAGAGACTTTTTAATACTGAAATATAGAATAAGACTTTTTAATACTGAGATAGAGAGACTTTTTAATACTGAAATATAGAATAAGACTTTTTAATACTGAGATAGAGAGACTTTTTAATACTGAATTATGGAATAAGACTTTTCAAAACTGAGATAGGGAGTAAGATTTTAATACTTAAATAGGGAATAAGACTTTTTAATACTGAGATAGAGAGACTTTTTTAATACTGAGATAGAGAGACTTTTTAATACTGAAATATGGAATAAGACTTTTTAATACTGAGATAGAGAGACTTTTTTAATACTGAGATAGTGATTTTTTAATACTGAATTATGGAATAAGACTTTTTAATACCGAGATAGAGAGACTTTTTAATACTGAGATAGAGAGACTTTTTAATACTGAAATATGGAATAAGACTTTTTAATACTGAGATAGAGAGACTTTTTTAATACTGAGATAGAGTGATTTTTTAATACTGAATTATGGAATAAGACTTTTTAATACCGAGATAGAGAGACTTTTTAATACTGAGATAGAGAGACTTTTTAATACTGAAATATGGAATAAGACTTTTTAATACTGAGATAGAGAGACTTTTTAATACTGAATTATGGAATAAGACTTTTCAAAACTGAGATAGGAAGTAAGACTTTTTAATACTGAAATAGGGAGTAACACATTTGAATACATGTACTGATATTGGGAGTAAAACTTATTAATATCAAGATAGGAAGTAAGATGCATTTTCTCAGTAAATATAGGAATAACATAAACAAAAAAAGAGACTGGCAATTAACAAATGCATACTTACTGTTCTGTGTCTGGATTGTTGAATTTAATATAATCCTTGACTCTGTACACAGATGCATTACGACACAATTCACGCAAGTCACTCCCAGAATAATTGCTAGTCTCCTCAGCAATCATTGTTAAATCTATATCATCAGAAAGCTATTGAAAGAAGCAAAAGTAAAAAATAAGAAACCTAACTAATATAATTCAAATCAAGTTAATGGTTGATGACTTATACAGATGTTGCCAGGTGTATGTACATGAACACTTGTCAGATCAAAGTATATGAACACATGCATGATGATGTCAGGGCCACACCATCTTCAATACAATCTCCTTACTGTAGAATACTTTATTTTCGCTATTCTCGCTGACTGGATGCTTCAGTGAAAATAAAATCCAGCGAATATACTTTTTTACCTATATTTCATATTCAACTAATCAAAAATCAGTGAAAATAAATTTTACACAAAATACCGAAAAGCCTTTTCAGCGAAAATTTATTCCAGCTAAAATAAAGTAGTTTACAGTATATCCAATGTGAAGCTATGAGGAGTTCAATTATGTTATAGTACATTGTATATCCAATGTGAAGCTATGAGGAGTTCAATTATGTTATAGTACATTGTATATCCAATGTGAAGCTATGAGGAGTTCAATTATGTTATAGTACATTGTATATCCAATGTGAAGCTATGAGGAGTTCAATTATGTTATAGTACATTGTATATCCAATGTGAAGCTATGAGGAGTTCAATTATGTTATAGTACATTGTATATCCAATGTGAAGCTATGAGGAGTTCAATTATGTTATAGTACATTGTATATCCAATGTGAAGCTATGAGGAGTTCAATTATGTTATAGTACATTGTATATCCAATGTGAAGCTATGAGGAGTTCAATTATGTTATAGTACATTGTATATCCAATGTGAAGCTACGAGGAGTTCAATTATGTTATAGTACATTGTATATCCAATGTGAAGCTATGAGGAGTTCAATTGTGTTATAGTACATTGTATATCCAATGTGAAGCTATGAGGAGTTCAATTATGTTATAGTACATTGTATATCCAATGTGAAGCTATGAGGAGTTCAATTATGTTATAGTACATTGTATAGATACTCACATATTCTTTTTCTAGGATTAAATCTAAGATGCATAGTCTTTGGTCTTTGTCCTGAAAATGAATAAAAATAATATCATTACTAGTATTATGAGAAAATACAACACTGGCAATAACAACAGAACATGTATATTACATCTACAATCTCTGAAAAAACTTGGAAAGATCTGATGAATGGCTCATTTGATTGATCATTTTGATGTCAGAATTAAAACTAAGATATTCACTAATTTAGATGAATAGTGGGGTTGCTGCATTATTTTTCAAATAGTCATGAAATTGTTTGTGACTAATGTTTTGATGCCCAGTAAATTGTATATGATATTTCATACTTGACAGTGTGATTTATTAATTATTTACAAGGCATGGAAATATGCAAATTTCCAATAGTCATCAAAACAATGTGGGTTGTTAATTTTGACCACTCTTTTAAGCATGTTGGAATTTTCATTGAATAACTAGATACATGTATATTTAGAGATTCTATAAAATATTAAAAGTTTTGATTAAAATGTGCCAAAAAACCTACTATATCCTTAAGACATGAACATGAAAAGAAGCAAATAAAAGTACCAGTATACAAACTGTATGTATTAGAAAAAGCAACAAATATATACACAGTCCATATTTCAGGGCTGAAAATTAAAAAAAAATTTGCTGAAAAATGCTTGTCCACTTTTTAAAAAGTTACCAATACAAAATAAATGCTATATTTTATGTAACAATGTTGTTATTTATTGTGCAAATATTTCAATGAAAATGTTATTGTGACATTTTGTAAAACAAGCCATGCATGGCACAGACCACATTAGTTATTGAATTTATAGTTTTGTTTATAGTAATATAATTGGAATATAAATATGTCAGGAATATGATATGATATAATATGATATGATATGATTTTTTAACATTAAAATGATTCACATCTTGTATCTGATCGTCAAACGAGTACTTGTCCATATTGAGAGATATTGCTCTGGAAGAGCATTAATTAAACAAAGTCGGCCATTTTGAATACATGTATAATGAATATATAAAATTTGAACATAATCAGTCAAGGCATATCAGAGATATGGCTCTAGAAGCGGATTTTGAATCAGATCGGAAAAATAAAAATTACAAGTTTGAATAAAATCAATCCATAAATGCCACAAATGCTTGATTTTTTAGCACAAAAATAGCCACCATTTGGCCATTTTGCTATAATTTTGCTATTTTGACATAATGCTAAAAGTGGAATTTTTTACAAAAATAACAGAAATATTCAATAAAATTAGAATCAAAGAGAGCTTAAAAAGAACTCCAGGGTGTTGAGAGAATAACATAACATGATATTTGCAATTATCTGAATTCGTAATACATGTATATACCAAGTTTTGTTGAAATATGTTGAATGGTTCTTGAAATAGCACCCAAATAGCTTGAATTTCACTAGCTGATATGCAAATTATCTAATTTGCATAAATTTCCGCCAAAAACTAAATATATCTGAAAACTGTCCCAACACATCTATGCACCAAGTTTTAAATGGTTCTCAAGATATCACCAAAATAGCCTAAATGTTAGTACTAATATGTTAAGTATGTTTTCATTACAATCACAATAGACCAATCAAAGAAAACTTAGAACTCCCACGTGCTATGTGAGAATGAGAAACAGTTGACAGAACAAATGGGAAACATTACATCACTCCCTGTGAGCATATAATTTCAATATGGCATCATTGTATAATCTTCCCAAGTTTTATCCATTTTCCCGACAACTGTAGTGCATTAAAGAGAAGGTAATAAAAAAAAAATCATGAATTTCTGAAATTTTTGATAAATTTGGCCACCTTTATTGACTGGGTGAAGTGTCATCCAAGCTACATGTGTACCAAGTATCAAAGAATTTGGACTATGAGTTTTGAAGAACAAGTCAAAAGAACTATTTTTGATGAAAAATGACAAAATATTTGCTAAAAATTAGAGAATTGAAGATGTCAACACAAAATGAACAAATCTGATAGAGGTACACCCAACGTATATACCACGCTGGTTTGAGAGCAACTGGACTACCAGTTTCGGAGAAGAAGTCGAAAATAGCATTTTTGACCAAAAATGACCATTTTAAAATATTACCCAAAATTAGGAAATTGAAAATTTCCTTACCAAATTAACAAAACTGATAGAGGACAACCCAAGGCACATGCACGATCAATATCAGCACTGTAAACCACTTAGTGTCATAGTAACATAGAAGAAATTTTAGAGTTTTGGCTCTAGAAGTGCATTTATTAAAACAAAATGGCTGCCAGTCGGCCACATTTTGAATCCGATCTGAAAAATAAAATGACGTGCATCAGGAACCCATAATGTCTAATGTATGTACAAGTTTGAACAAAATCAATCCATAAATGCCACAAATGCTTGATTTTTCATGACTTGTTAGCACAAAAATGGCCCTGAGCCGTCATAACACTGGTCATTCAATATACTTTTAAACAATATACATTTTTCGGTCAGCGTTTCTTTTTTTTTTGTTTTGTCTATTTTCTTTTTTTTTGAGAGAGAGAGTTTTTAGAAGTTGTTTAAGATAGTTAAACGTTGTGTTGTGGGCGGTTGCAGTAATACGTATAGTCATACTGTAAGTATTCAGACGTTTCCAATTGACCCAAAGGTGCGACATCAGTGGACGAATGCCGTGAAAATAACAAGAAAAGGTTGGGGTGGACCTTCTCCTTACAGTGTCATATATAGTGTCCACTTCACCTCAGATTCTTTATTAAAAAACAACTAGGTTTTAAAGAGAAACGCCGACAACTTCAAACTGTCGCAACACTTTTGAAAGAAAAAAATTCCGAACCAGCTCATGATCACCTAGGCGGATTTTAGTAGAGAGAGAGACGTCAGGTGTTTCAAATAATTTTTGCGACCCTGATTATCGTTTTATAGAGACCATTTAGTCCGTGTTATGTAAAATGTAGCAATAATTTTGATAGTGACACGAAATCAAAGCGTCGTTCATTATGTTGCTAAGACACTCAGCACTGCACTATGTATTTCTATGGGCACTGTAGAACACCAGTTGAAGAGTCAGTGAAAACAGATCAAGTTAAGGAAACGCAACAATGAGACAATTCTGAACAACCAAATATATATCTTGTTATACTGTTCAGGGGTGTCTAAAGACTAGCCAGAAATACAATTTTTTTGGGAGTTTTTAATCATTATTTTCTTTGTGGTTGCAAGGTGGTAAAAATGCCCTGATGTTTGCTGCCAAAAATATAATAACTTACTGGCATTCCTATATGAAACATACTAGGCATTCTTCTTAGTATAGCAGCATCCACATCTTGTGGTCTATTACTAGCACCCATCACAATCACCTACAAGTAAAACAAAAAAAACAATGATTCATACCACAGGTCTTATAGAGACTTGTCTTGTAATGACAAATGTTTGAAGTGTGAATTATTTTATCTCATATGCAATGCTTAGTACATATACAGCAAAGTGTGTGATAGTTCCGTGATGAATAAAATGTTGCGCCTTTTCTCGAATATGTTTCTGGATTTTCTCTTTCTTCAAAGTAGCCCTAAATTGTGAACAGTATTGTGGGCATGGTTTGCATGTATCACAAGAGTTCCATTTGGTTTTCATGAGAGGCAGAATGCTATGCTACTGAATGCTATTTCAATATCATGAGTTGAAAAACTCACATTAGTGAAAGCAGGCTTGCTAAAATCCTGGTTGATAAAAACTTTTTTGCCCTTGCTTGTATTGGTCTTTTAACAGATTTTACATTTCTCTTAGATCTGTGTTTCTGATTCCTTGCTCATTAGTTATTAATTATTTAAGTAGACATTTTATTATAAGACTGTAATCTGGCTCAACCAGTAGCTTCTTTATGTTAGTGAGTTTTCTCATCAGCGTTTTCCTGTCTCAGGGTATTTTTCTGCATTTCTAATATGACATGAAATTTGCTGGTATACAGTTTTTGGCATTTACTTTTTATCTTTTGTACAGAATTGGACATAAATAAAAAACAGGATTTATTGTATGTTGGATCATTGAAGCATGTCATATTTTAAACAGATATACACCACTGCAATTTATGTAAGTGCTTCAAATAGAGCAAATATTGTAAACCACATTGTTTACTGAACAAATCCAGCAAACATAAACATAAGATTTCCATGAGACATCATTGAGGGCGCTATGTCACACTGTACATACCTGACAAGTTGGGTCAGTTATTAATCCATCCCATAAACTCATAAACTGAGCTTTCATCATGGCAGTTGCTTCATGGTCATATGATGCTCTTGATCGAAGAAATGAATCCACTTCATCAATAAATATGATTGTTGGTTGAATTTTGATTGCCTAAAATGGAATAATTATTAAATTACTAACTGGAAGTTATTAACAATATATTCAGTAATATAATTTTATTTTGGTCAAAAATCAAAGTTTCGGCATTCATAAGTTATATGTACAGTGTATATACTAAGTTTTATCCAAATCAGTTCTCACACAGCTGAGCTCCAATTCTGCAATTGTGAAAATGTGTGATTTTGATACATTTTTGACATTAAATGGCTGCCATCTTGAATCCTGTAACAAATGCAGGCACACATGTCCAATATGATGTCTTGATTGTTTTGATTATAGTGAATTTGATTGGTTCAAGCATGTGTGAAATATGGCTGGAGAAGAATGGACATCATTGTTTCCATTGAAACAAGTTTAGGTCCAAAGATTTGTATTTGGCAGGAACTTTCACTACCATTTGTAGTGCTTTCAAATTTCCATATTGTTTTACTGTGTCCATATCTACGACCAATGTCTGTAGAAAACTACAATATATAATTTGTGATCAGGATATTCTCTACTCAATAAGATTTTTTACTTGTGTGCATAGCAGTGACATTATCAATAAAAACCCACTGAAATTATTGCCATTTGTTTTTAATACTTCTACCGTATTTATCCGGGTATAAGCCCAGGGTCTTGAACATGGAAAATTGCCAAAAAGAAGGGGTGGGCGTTTGCCAGGAGATCCCCGGCAAAAAAACTGAAAAACACGTAGATCGAACTGCGGCAGGGAATAGAATGGCAAATGAAAACATGCAACGGAAATAAATGAAACAATATGCAACACTAGAAGTAAAACGAAAATAATGTATTGCCTATAATGTGACAAATAAACCAGAAATAATAAAAATCGACAGTGAAGAATCATTTGAATTAGGATTTTCCCGCCGACAAACACGCCCAATACGCGTGAACTCAAAATGAATTAAAATGTCAGGGGTTAAACTGTGTAAAATGATTTCCGGGTTCGACAAATTATGAATCAACCGTCATACAAGATCAATAATAATTTACAAATTTACACAGTAAAAATTATAAAAATTCATAGCTGTTTGAAAAAACTTCTCAGATCTTTATTTGTACGTTCATTGCCATCTTCGTCAAACTCAAAACCCTCAAATGTCCAAGTCGGCGTCACTGTAGCCGTCGAACAAAATCCCTACAACTTATTCCAGAAGTTCGTCGATATCGTCCCACACAATATGGACTTAGCACTTTTAATCCACAGATTGCGCAGTTTGTCAGCTTGGCACTTTTCATTCATGTCTAATCATAATAAAGAGACAAGAAAAATGAGGTCGCTCTGCTTCGATGGCACACGATGCTTTTGTTTACAGTCTAGCAATCATCTTTGACCTTTATGCATCTGCTTTACTGATTGGCTAAGAATGACATCACTACTAGTATTTCATCATGAAGGTCAAATCGTGACATTGCTTTCTTATCAGACTCGACGCTTATTAATCAGTGAAAGTTATCATTCAGCAAGTTCCGGCGGTTGGAATGTTTCACTACTGTAAAATGACTAATTTTCACTGGGTTTAAATTTCACTGATTTAACATTTCAGGCATATTCATTGTCGCATACGACTTGTTTACCACTTCCGTGTGACTGAGAATGTTCTAGAACCGTACTGTGTCTGGGTGGAATTTTTAGAAACTGGTTGAATAGGTAATGGAACATTCTAGAAATTTGTAGTAAGTTCCAGACTCATTATGTATGCTGATGTAATGGTCTATTTATAGACAGTGTGAGTATATATAGGGGAGTTGTTCAGCACTGAGATCAGATCGGAGATCTCGTTGAATTGTGTTGGAGTTTAAGTATCTAGTTATTGGAGTAGTGGAGTTTTACCGCGTTATTGTACTTGATGTTTGCAGAGTATAATAATACCAGTACCAGTTGAAACC